GCCTTTGCAAAATTGAACAGAGTTTGTGGGGGGGGGGCGGTGGTTAGGGATTTGGTTTACGGGAAGACCATTTAAACTTTTTTCTTTTTGAGACCAAGTCTCGCTCTGTAGCCCAGACTGGAGTGCAGTGGCATAATCTCTGCTCACTGCAACCCCCACCTCCCAGGTTAAAGTGATTCTCCTGCCTTAGCCACCCATGTAGCTGGGATTATAGGTGCGCACCACCACACCCAGCTAATTTTTATATTTTCAATAGAGACTGGGTTTCACCATGTTGGCCAGGCTGGTCTCGAACTCCTGACCTCAAGTGATCCTTCCACTTTGGCTTCCCAAAGTATTGGGATTACAGGTGTGAACCATGGCACCCGGCCCATTTAAACTTTCTCCATATCAGCATTAAGGCTGCTTAGCTTTTTTATCATTCGTGTGTTCACTGGACTAGCATTTCTAATTTCCCTCAAGAATTTTTCCTTTACGCCAGGTGCCGTGGCTCACACCTATAACCCCAGCACTTTGGGAAGCTGAGGTGGGCAGATCACAAGATCAGGAGACGGAGACCATCCTGGCTAACACAGTGAAACCCCGTCTCTACTAAAAATACAAAAAAAAAAAAAACCAACCCAAAAATTAGCCGGGCATGATGGCGAGCTCCTGTAGTCCCAGCTACTCGGGAGGCTGAGGCAGGAGAATGGCATGAACCCGGGAGGTGGAGGTTGCAGTGAGCCAAGATAGTGCCACTGCACTCCAGCCTGGGCGACAGAGCGAGACTCTGTCTTAAAAAAAAAAAAAAAAAAATTTCCTTTACATTCACAACTTGGCTGTTTGGCACAAGAGGCCTGGCTTTCAGCATGTCATGGCTTTCAACATGCCTTCCTCACCACGCTTGATCATTTCTACCTTATGATTGAAAGTAAGAATCTTAGCAAGGACTTAGTGGGCATTGGTAAGGTTATTAATTGGCCTAATTTCAATGTTGTTGTGTCTCAGGGAATAGGGAGGCCCAAGGAGAGTGAGTCTAGGGGATAGCCAGTCAGTGAGAGCACATACACCTTGTATCAATTAAGCTCACCATAAGTGGGTGCAGTTTGTATCACTCCAAAACAAAGATCAGTAGTAACATCAAAGATCACTGATCACGGATCACTGTAACAGCTATAATAATAATGAGAAAGTTTGCAATATTGCAAGAATTACCAAAATGTGACAAAGAGACATGACTTGAGTACGTGCTGCTGGAAAAATGGTGCCAACGTACTTGCTGGAAGCAGTGATGCCACAAACATTCAATTTGTAAAAAGTACAATATCTGCAAAAATCAATAAAGCAAAGTACAATAAAATGAGGTCTGCCGGTATCAAAATACCAGAATAGTAGTTTATTAGCATTACCATGGGTATTGAGGCCGCTGGGCATATCTCTGAGGTCCTCTGTGCATGTGTCTGATAAATGTCAGAATGGATAACATTGTGAACTGAAAAAGTGTATTTCAACTTATAGTTCCCTGAAATTGTTTTCTCATTAATTGATTCAACAAATAGTTACTGACTATGCTGCATGCATAGTTCTGGGGGCTTGGGATACATTAGTGAAGGCGATTTCTACCCTCAGAGAGCTAATATTCTTGTGGGATTAGGGAGGCAGATAGCAAACATGTGACCACAGAGTATGTTAGCCGGTGAGAGGTGCTCTGTGGGCTGAGGGAGTTGCAGGTTGCCTTATGGTGGACAGGACAGGCCTAACAGAGGAAATGGCTATTGTGCAAAGATCTGGAGTTGGTGAGAGTTGACTGTAAGGATGCCCCGGGCGGGGGAGCCCGGCAGTCAGAGGGACTGCCCAGGGCAGAGCTCCTGAGGCTGGGCGTCCTTGGCCTGCTCAAAGGACAGCAAGGAGGACTGGGTGGCTGGAGCAGAGTGAGCTGTGGGGACAAATGTGAGATGAAGTTAGAGAGAAATGAGCGACCAAAGTCATGTGGGGCCTTGCAGGCTGGCGTGAGGACTTTACCTTTACTCTGTGAGAAAGGGAGAGCAGGCTTTCCAGCAGTCACACCTGAGATGATCATTGGGCTGCGTTGCATGTAGGTAGCCAGGCACCTGGGGCCTGGGAGACTGCCCGGAAGGTCGCTGTGATCCTTTAGGTGAGAAATGAGGGTGGCTTAGACCTGGGCGGCAGCCACGACAGAGTAAGAAGTGATCTTTCCTTGTCTTCTGCCCTTTCCTGTCTTTCCCTTGCTTTATTTATTAATCTTTAGGTGTTGAGCACTACTGTGGTGGCAGGCGTGATGGTACATCTGCGAATATCCAGGTGGGCAAAACTAACATTGTCATAACATTTTCATAGAACTTGTATTCTAGTGAGAGGCAGACAGACAATTAAAATGTCAATACAATGATGCTGTGCTGAGATGTCTGAATGCCTCAGAGTGCCCCGGGGTAAGGGGAGGGGAGGGTCACTGCCGCCTTTGTTGGAGTGATTGGATAGTCTGGGTGAGGAGGGAACATTTAACCTGAGAACCAAAGGATGGAAACACAGTCTAGTAATGTGAAGAATAAAAGTGGTGAGGCTGAAGGGAGCATTCAGTCATGGGGTATATGCTGAGGCCCTGACCTGCGTCTGACTGTACAGGCAGGAGAGTTCTGTGTGTCCAGGCACACAACAGCCTCTTAATGGGTCTGCTCACTTGCACGGCTGCTCTCCTCTGATGAACCCTACACACGGTAGTCAGATGACCTTTTAAAAATGTTTGTTAGATCATGTCTTCCCACTGCACTTAAATCCAAATCAACAGTCTTCCTGCTTCTTCAGCCTCACTTCATGTTCCCCTCCCAGCTCCCTGGGCTCTACCACCACAGCCCCCACTGCGCTCCTGGACACACAGAACTCTCCTTGGACTGTGGTGGTGGCAGAGGGTATAGAGTGATGGGAATCAACATGTCAATGGTAGAAATGCCAGGGCTTGTTGACAGATGGTTATAAGAGTAAGAGAGGAGGCCGGGTGCCGTGGCTCAGCCTGTAATCTCAGCAATTTGGGAGGCCGGGACTGGCGGATTACCAGAGGTCAGGAGTTCAAGACTAGCCTGGCCAACATGGTGAAACCCCGTCTCTACTAAAAATACAAAAATTAGTTGGGTGTGGTGGTGGGTACCTGTAGTCCCTGCTACTCAGGAGACTGAGGCAGGAGAATTGCTTGAGCCCAAGAGGCGGAGGTTGCAGTGAGCCGAGATTGTGCCATTGCATTCCAGCCTGGGTGACAGTGAGACTCCGTCTCAAAAAAAAAAAAAAAAAAAGAGAAAATAAGAGAGTGATTCAGATATTAACACAGACTTAAGCTTGCATTTCTGGCTTTAGCGTTTTGTTCTGAGATGGGATCTCCTGTCGCCCAGGCTGGACTGCAGTGGGGCAAGCCACAAGGCTCATGCAGCCTTCACTTCTGGGCCCAAGTGATCCTCCCATTTCAGCCTCTGGAGTAGCTAGGACCACAGGCATGCACCACCACATCTGGCTAATTTTATTTGTAGAGACGGGGTCTCACTATGTTGCCCAGGCTGGTCTCAAACTCCTGGACTCAAGTGATCCTCCTGCCTTGGCCTCCCAAAGTGCTGAGATGATAGGTGTGAGCCACCATGCTGGCCTGGCTTGAGCTAATGGATGGATGGTGGTTCCTTTTACTGAGATGCAAACGACCTTTAATAAAAAGGGAACTATTTCCGTCAGCGAAGTAAAGGCCTTGGTGGGGGAGAAGTGATTTAGGAAAACTAGGTTGTCACCTGGGAGGTGCAGGAATGTCAGAAGAGAATGAACGTATAAGACTTATAGTTCAGAGAAGCTGGGGGCACAAGCCACTCAAACAGCACCCAAGGATCGCCTGCCAGCAGGGTGCCCTATTGGTGTCTGTGATCATTAATCCATCTAGAATGAAACTGGTCAGTGTAGCGTCCCTCAGCCAAGTTCTCTTCCTTGTTCCCTTTTCTTGTTTCCTGTCTTCCAGTGATCCATAACTTGGAAATGAAATATATACTTTTATTACCTGTTGAATATAATCCTTATATTTCCTTATTTCAAAATGGTAAACTTATCATTGGTATGGTGAATTACATATAATTTATTTATTCATTTTTTTTTTTATTTATTTTTGAGACGGAGTCTCACTCTGTCACCCAGGCTGGAGTCCAATGGCGTGATCTCAGCTCACTGCAACCTCTGCCTTCCAGGTTCAAGTGATTCTCCCATCTCAGCCTCCCAAGTAGTTGGGACTACAGGCGCATGCCACCACACCTGGCTAATTTTTGTATTTTAGTAGAGATGGGGTTTCACTATGTTGGCCAGGCTGGTCTCAAACTCCCAACCTTGTGACCCTCCCACCTTGGCCTCCCAAAGTGCTGGGATTACAGGTGTGAGCCACTGCGCCCAGCCAAATTACATACAATTTAAAACAGAATTTGTTGCATTGAACTGAATGTTGAATTTTTCTTTGTAAAATATCCCTGTGACTAAATTTTCACTGTGGTCTGCAAATTAATTTATTTGCTTAATAGAAAAATAATTTTCAGCGTTGGGCATGGTGGTTCACACCTGTAATCCCAGCACTTTGGAGGGCTGAGCCCAGGAGTTTGAGATCAGCCTGGGAAACAGAGTCAGACCATGTATCTACAAACTTTTTTTTTTTTTTTTCAATTAGCCAGGTAGGGTGGCACACGCTTATAGTCCCAGCTACTTGGGATGCTGAGACAGGAAGATCACTTGAGCCCAGGAATTCGAGGCTGCAGTGAGCTATGATTGTGCCACTGCACTCCAGCCTGGGCAACACAGTGAGGTCCTGTCTCTGACCAAACAAACAAACAAACAAACAAAATAAAAAACCTAACAAAATTAATTAGAAATGTGATGAGATATTGGATGTCCATTAGTGATAACGAAAGCCATTGCACCCATTATACTGAATGCTCTTTCAGGAGTTCTGAAAGCAAACAAATGTTAAAGAAACAGAAAAATAACATCTTTAAAATTTTTTATATATGTTGCTTTTATTCAAAAGAATAAAATGCTTGACAAACTCTTTAATCACAAGGTTTGAACCAAACCACCAGTCTTCTACAACAACTCTGTGAGGTAGGTATCTGCATAGCCACAAGGGATCCACACAGTCCTTTCTTCCCTTGTACCTCTCAAACACTGAGAATTGTAGTAGTTGAAACCACTATTCTAGTGGGCAGTTAGAAAAGTTGTTTTCCCCATCTTATTCCCCACAGAGCTGCCCAAGTTATTGTCTGCTCCTGGGGTTGGACCATCTGTTTTATGACAGTTATGATACTGTTGTTTAAAAAAAATCCAAATTGTTACTTTGATTTATATGATCTAACTCTGAATCACAGAAGTATTACTATAATGTTCAAAACACTGATTGACTCTACTTGCTTTAAAAACTCTCAGATCCCTTCTGCATTTATGATCAGAGATCGGTAAAGATGACAATAAGCAGGCCTAAAGTTCTGAGATGTTAGCACGTATCCTTTTCACAATTTAGTAAGCTTTAAGATCATTTAGTATTTTTTTTTACGTTACAAAATTTGGTACAGTACACCTCTTTCAGGAAAGTCTTAGTAGTAACTCCAAATATTATAATTATTGTAACCAGAATTGTGACACTTGGAGCAGAACGCATGCACACAAATAAAATGCTGTCAAAAAATGACATCACCATTCCCCCACACCAAATGTATAACTGGTAGGAAATGCATTTTCAGTCTGGTACGTGGCAGTGTGACAAACTCCTACTCATTTGCTTTTCAAGTTGGTGACAGCAAGCATTTTCTGTGATGTATACTACCCTTTTACCTATTTGATTTGGAAGTGTAGAATTTGGATTCATGCAATCTTCAGGTGTCATCTCCACAGACCTTTCCTCTTAGGAGTGCCTAAGCTGTCTTACTCTGATGGAGGTATAATGTAGCATGAAAGACTTCCAAAGAACCAGTTTCTTTCTTGCCGTTCCTCTTAACAACTTCCACGTCTATCTAAACATTCTATGCAGGAGTCCTACTAAAAGATTTTGGTTTAATGCCACTTTGATCAGTTATTTGTTGTATGACTTCATTCAAAAACACTTTCATCAATAGCATAGGGATTTTATCTATGAAAGGGAAGTTGGTGCCCAGCGTTCCTCACAAAATTGTCCAAAGGATAAAATGAAAAGTATGTGAGTAACTGCGTTAATTATAATGTGCTATGTTTAAGCATTATTGTCTTTCTCTATGACAAGCAACAGCTCTGTCCTAGGTCCAAATTAGAAAAACACATACTGATATTTAATTCAGAATCTCATTAATTGGTAGCTGATCTGATTAACTAGACAGAATGTGACAGATTTTCTTCTTATCTCCCAGTCTGCATATACTGAAGCTCACTAATAAATTAATGGATGATATTAATAGCAGTGATCTCAGATGACAATGCTAACACTGACTCCTGGGCATCCCGTCACATCCTGCTGTTACACATTCAGTAATGACCAACACCAGCCAAAGTGAGTAACATCTCCCAATACCATGTGGTATTGAGTCTTCTCAGATATATTCACTTGTTTGGCTCAAGACATGAATCTGAGCTGTGTGCTGCCTTCCTGAGACAATACTATAAAAATTTCTGACAACAGAAAACTAACCAAGTTTGTCCAATCTGTTGCTATAGCTAACCAGTAATTTCTTTTGTCAAATGTAGATACTGTTCCCAGTACCTTCCTATGGGCTTGATGCTCAAAGACACGAAGATCCCATCCACCTTCCTCAGAAATGCATCAGGCTACTCTGTTTGCAGCATCACCCAGGTTCCTAAAACAATCTTCCCTTTACAAATTACTTTTATATCTACTATGAAAGGATGAGCTCGTTTAAATGTCTAACTGTGAACATCAAGTGTGCTGACTGGAGATAAATGTTTTTCATCTTTTTTTTTTTTTTTTAAGATGGAGACTAACCCTGTCGCCCAAGCTGGAGTGCAGTGCTGCAATCTCGGCTCACTGCAAGCTCCGCCTCCCAGGTTCACGCCATTCTTCTGCCTCAGCCTCCTGAGTAGCTGGGACTACAGGCGCTGGCCACCACGCCCTGCTAATTTTTTGTGTTTTTAGTAGAGACGGGGTTTCACTGTGTTAGCCAGGATGGTCTCAATCTCCTGACCTCATGATCCACCTGCCTCGGCCTCCCAAACTGCTGGGATTACAGGTGTGAAACACCCCGCCTGGCCATGTTTTTCATCTTAATTCTTCTATTGATTAAAATATGTTCTGTAAACTAAAATATGATATTGAAGTATGAAGTTCAAGTTTCTTCTTTCAGTTTCAGCTGATAACAAATAATTATACCAGAATGAAAAAGCAGAACTGCTCCAAATGCACAAAACTTAGCTAGCACTAAAAGAAATACTGAATTTTCCCCAATAGTATATAATACTTTATTGTAACAAAAATATTTAGATGAGTTTCACAGCTATATATTATCATATAGGTACCCACTGAGAAGGATAAGGTGGATAAACTGACATTTAACAATATTTTACTATACATCCAATTAATCTAAGTAATTCTGGGGAAAAGAAAAATATATAAAAGCATCCCTTTTTATATAATTCCTTATTTTTTCCAGACAACATAGAATCAAGATACAATTGTAGATCATTATAATTCTAAACTTAGTATTAGAACTTGCAACATGTGAAAATTCCAGTTATATATTCCTAGGCATTTGTCAAATGATAATCAAATGTTTGTCTTATAGTGGTTTTATATTTGTGAGATAATACTCCATTACTTCATTGCTTTATACTGCCATGGGTCCTTCTGTTTGATGTTCTACGTTAGCTCAGATATCCTAGTAAACTCAGTTTTTTTTTTTTTTTCATCTGGTTAGCCTTTGGGTTATCACTTCTCGATACATAATAGAGATGTAGATAAGCAATAAAAAGATGACAAAGAAATCATCTAGAAAGCCTAGGATTCCAAACAAGGCTTCAGGTACAAAATCTAGAGGAGATATAAGATAGAAAAAAGCTCCCATTAAACAAAGTATTATTCTGATGCGAAACATCCAGAAAAGGCCCCCGACTGAAAACATTTCCCTGAATGCATGTCTCAGTAAAGTGGGTAGATCCATAATTCTCTCCATAATCTGGTAGAGGGAAAAACAAATATTATGATTTAGCATCTAATGTGTCAGGTTTCAAAATAATGTAATTTTCTTACTATGTGTAAACATTGTTAAGATTAGTTAAGATGAATTAATGAGTTACACATTGATTGAACATATTTTCTAATTATGCGTTGTATTTAAAAATAGCTCTTTGAATACTAGTTCTTACAGAATAGATCTTATTGCAGATAACTGAAAAGCAACTAAAGTGTCATCAAGCTTAAAATATGGGATAAAGTAATGCAAAACTCAAGTAACATCTGATTTGTTAGTAAAATAAACCAAAGAACCTAGTGCACAGGATTAGAGTCTGAGACTTGAGCGTAAGTCTCAGCTTTAAAGTCACACAGATCTGGGTTTGAATTCAAAATCAATCACTTATTAGCCAGGTGATCTTAGGAACAGTTGCTTAACCTACTAGAGATAATTCAACAACTAACTGAGTATGTGCAAGGACTCAGTTAAGAACGAAAATTCAAAAGAAAAAAATAACTAAAAGAGATACTGTGTATGAAAGACCTTTATAACTTGCCAGACAATATAGAAGTGATTATATATTAAAGACATAGGAACTTTGAAGGTTTAAATAGTTTAAGAATAGCAGTGAAACTGATTCCTTCCAGTGAATCACTTCCTCTGGTCATTCCTCTGCTATGTTTAACATTCTGTGTTAACAGTCATACACCCAAACTCTAGATAGGCGTTTTATGTAACAAGTGCCAAATAAGTTAAGAGGGAGACAGAGACAAAAACACAAAGAATTGAGCAAGTGAGGAGAAAATAGTTTTTTAAACCCCCAGACCAAGAGAAAACCATCTTGTGACTCCTTTTGGAACAATGATCACCAAAGTACAAGAATGGTTGTTTCATAATCACTTCCTATGTTCTGTGGAAGAACTAATATCTAAAGCAAAACAGCCTTACCACTTTCACAAAGTTTATAGTAAATGACTTTAGATACTCTAACAAACAGCCAGCATGTCTTTTGAATACCTTTCTGTCCTTTTTCAGAGCTATTTTGTTCACTTGTAATATAGTATCATCATTTATACAAAATCTTTAATAATTTGACAAGAAATATGAAATGGTTTAGTAAGAAATGTTTCTGCATAAACTTACTCCAACTTTGAAGGAGGCAGAATATTAAAGAGCTAAATGCCTTTATTCTGTTACAATTTCATCACATACCAGGCTTTCTTACTCATTAAATATCTGACACAAAAAATAATAATTGAGTAATAGTATGCTTCACATTTTAAAAATATGAAGGAAAAATTTTAAAGGCCGGATGCAGTGGCTCACACTGGTAATCCCAGCACTTTGGGAGGCCAAGGCTAGCAGACTGCTTGAAGCCAAGAGTTTTGAGATCAGCCTGGCAAACAGGGCAAAAACCCATCTCTACTAACATACAAAAATTAGCTGGGCATGGTGGCACACACCTGTAATCCCAGCTAGTCAGGTGGCTGAAATATGAGAATTGTTTGAACCCAGGAGGCAGAGGTTGCAGTGAGCTGAGATCACGCCATTGCATTCTGGCCTGGGCAACAGAGTGAGACTCTCTCAAAAAGAAAAGAAATGAAAAGAAAAATGTTAAATGACTTTTTAAAGTTCAGTGGTAGCTCTTAAATTTGAAACAGGTTGCATTTTTAAAGAACCATCCTATTGATGTCATCAGAGGATATGTAAAAAAAAAATTGCTGGATCAAAATTGCAGAAGAGGCTCCCAAATAATTATGGAGGACAACATGATTAGATTAAGTTTTTTTTACTGCTTAATGAAAAATGGGTAAATCTACCCATTATCATTCATAACAGTTGAAACTCTATGCCCTGAAATGTACACGACCTCACAGAACAAGGAACAATGGAGCATGAGCACATGTCTGTATAACACTGAAGCATCTGCATAGCTTAATATATTCGGCTGGGAGCAGCAGTATCAATTCTTACCTTAACAGTAATTCATTCATTTATTCAACACACATTAAGGCACTGAATTTGGCACTGGTGAATAAATAAACTTGGCAATGGTAAATAAATAAAAACGGACCTTACCCTTATGAAGCTTTTAGTTTACTGAGAGAAAGATAACGAACAAGAATTGAGTGTTGTCTATGATAAACGCCATGAAGGAAAGGTACAGAGGGCAGCCACAGAGCAGGGAAAGCTTCTCCAAGAAGGGTCTACTTGGGAGTTATACCTGATGTAAAGGACGAGTTGATGGGTGCAGCACACCAACATGGCACAAGTATACATATGTAACAAACCTGCACGTTATGCACATGTATCATAGAACTTAAAGTATAAAAAAAAAAAAAAAAGGTAGTTGTCATCTAAAGACTGGGAAATCACCATGAGAGCAGAAGGACAAGCATTTCATGCAGAGGAAGTGTCAGGTGTGACAGCCTTAAGGTGGAAGGAGTTTGTGTGTGTGCTGAGAGCATACAGCAGGGTGGCTGCAGGGTGGTGATTGAGGCGGTTAACAGAAATTTGGAAAGGGAGGAAGGACCAGATTCTGTGGCACCTTGTAAGCCACAGTAAGGAGTTGGAACATTCAAAGACATTGGGCCACAAGTGGTGGCTCATGCCTGTAATCCCACCACTTTGGGAGGCCAAGGCGGGAGGACCACTTGAGCCCAGGAGTTGAAGACCAACCTGGCCAACACGGGGAAACCCCATCTCTACAAAAAATATAAAAATTAGCTGGGTTGTGGTGGCATGCACCTGTAGTCCCATCTACTTGGGAGGCTGAGGTGGGAAGATGGCTTGAGCCCAGGAGGCAAAGGTTGCAAGCGACCCAAGATTGCGCCACCACACTCAAGCCTCAAAACAAACAAACAAAATGGAAGTTTTCAAACACAAGAACATCATGGTCTCATTTATGTCCAGAAAATATTTATCAGGCTGCTGTGGCAGGGAAAAAAGTAGAAGTGAGGAGGCCACTGTGGTTACTGTGAGCAGAGATGACAGGGCTGGACCGGTACAATGTCTACAGTGATTGAAAGAAGTGGACACAGGCTGGGCACGGTGGCTCACACCTGTAATCCCAGCACTTTGGGAGGCTGAGGGGGTGGATTGCTTGAGCCCAGGAGTTCGAGGCCATCCTGGGCAGCATGGCAAAACCTAGTCTCTACAAAAAATTAGCCAGGTGTGGTGACGCACCCCTGTGGTTCCAGCTACTTGGGAGGCTGAGGCGGTAGGATGGCCTGAGCCTGGAAGGTTGAGGCTGCAGTGAGACGTGATTGCACCACTGCACTCCAGCCTGGGAAGGAGTGAGACCCTGTCTCAAACAACAACAACAACAACAACAACAATAATAACACAGTCAAGACATTTTTGTTCTTTTTGAGACAAGGTCTCACTCTATCACCCAGGCTGGAGTGCAGTGACGTGATCCTGGCTCATTGCATCCTCTGCCTCCCGGGCTTAAGCAATTCTCCTACCTCAGCCTCCCAAGTAGCTGAGACTACAGGTGCACACTACCATGCCTGACTAATTTTTGTATTTTTTGGTAGAGATGAGGTCTTGCTGAGCTGCCCAAGCTGGTCTCAAACTCCTGAGCTCAAGTGATCTGCCTGCCTCAGTCTCCCAAAGTGGTGAGATTACAGGCATGAGCCACTGTGCCCTGCCAGCAAGAATATGTTGATGCAGTAAAAATAATAGGATACCCCAAAAATAGAAAGAAAAGATAGGATTACTTATAGATCAGATGAGAGGAATGAAGAAGAGGAGGAAATAAAAAATGAGAAAAGAATAGACTATGTCAAGGAGGGAATCAGCTAAATACTCCACATGTTAAGTTAGAGATGCCTGTGGAGCACCCATGCTGAAATGGAAGTGAAGCAGTTGGATCTACAGAGTCTGGAGCTCAGAGAGGAGAGGTCTGGGCTGTCCATATAAATTTGGATTTAGTACATTCTAGTTTTTGAAGTACTTATTCGGTTTTACATTTCTAAGAATGTGTTAAATTTTGATAAAACAAGAATGAGTCAGTAAAATGTGCTAGGTTTTGATTTATCAAATACTTCTAGGGTAAGGGGAAGAAAGGTTATATGTACAGTGTTCTGCTTTTAAATAGCTAAGATGACATATAAACATATCCCTCCAAACTTTTTTTTTTTTGACATGGAGTCTCACTCTGTTGCCCAGGCTGGAGTGCAGTGGCACGATCTTAGCTCACTGCAACCTCTGCCTCCTGGGTTCAAGTGATTCTCCTGCCTCAGCCTCCTGAGTAGCTAGGACAACAGGCGCAAGCCACCATACCCAGCTAATTTTTGCATTTTTAGTAGAGAGAGGGTTTCACCATGTTGGCCAGGCTGGTCTCGAACTGCTGACCTCAGGTGATCTACCCACCTTGGCCTCCCAAAGTGCTGGGATTACAGGTGTGAGCCACCGCACTCGGCCAACCTGGAATTTTTTTTTTTTTTTTTTGAGATGGAGTCTCGCTCTGTTGCCCAGGCTGGAGTGCAGTGGCGGAATCTCGGCTCACTGCAAGCTCCACTTCCTGGGTTCACGCCATTCTCCTTCCTCAGCCTCCCAAGTAGCTGGGACTACCAGCAGCCACCACCACACCCGGCTAATTTTTTTGCATTTTTAGTAGAGACAGGGTTTCACCGTGTTAGCCAGGATAGTCTCTATCTTCTGCCTTGTGATCCGCCCATCTCGGCCTCCCAAAGTGCTGGGATTACAGGCGTGAGCCACCATGCCCGGCCCCAACCTGGAATTTTTTAAGGGAACATTTCAAACGGGGCTAGGGCAAATAGAATAAACCGTAACTGTGAAACTGTTGAAAGTTTTCAGTTGTAACTTTTCTCAAAAAACAAACGGTGTTTTAGTATCACATAGAAGTAAATAATTTTTCTATTTCCCTCTAATTTTTTCTATTGCTTTTCTGCTAGTTTTTCTTTCATAAACATTTTTATAATGCTATTTGTTTTTTAAGAAAGAAAATTGTAGTCCTTGGGAAAGCTGTAACATAGTGATTGGCAGCAATGAAGGTAAAAACTTGACCGAACACATATAATGATGTATTTTTTTTCTTTTTCTTTTCTTGTTTTCTGAGAAAGGGTCTCACTCTGCCACCCAGGTGGGAGTGCAGTAATGCGATCATGGCTCACTACAGCCTTGACCTCCTGGGCTCAGGTGATCCTCCCATTTCAGCCTTCCAAGAAGCAGGGACTACAGGCATGTGCCAACACTCTTGGCCAATTTTTTGGTATTTTTTATAGAGATGGGGTTTCATCATGTTGCCCAGGCTGGTCTCAAACTCCTGAGCTCAAATGATCCACCTGCCTTGGACTCCCAAAGTGCTAGGATTACAGGCGTGAGCCACTGTGCCTGGCCAAGATTTTTCATAGTCAAAGAATACTTGTTGGTAAACCTCACTTTACAAAAGAGAAGAAATGTGTCTTCCTCTAACTTTGAACATGCTTTAGCATTACTTACAGATCTGGGTTGCCCTGAGAATCTCCGGTTATAATCATTAATATCCTGATGCAATCTCACAACATCCTGAGACTGATCATCTTCACCAAATACCGTTAGGAGTAAGGTTACCTGTATATTACAGAAAAAAGAATTATTTCAACTTTCTGCATCATTATGTTTTTCATTTTGTGTTATTATTCAATAGAATGGTAAAGGCTTCTATATTTATATTTCACTCATTTTTAAATAAAGGCAACCTGGAGGAGGGGAGTAAGTAACTGCTTTGCAATAAAATCCAGTGCAGCATAGAATTTGAACTCCTATAAGATAAAATAGGCACCATATCCAACTACTGGTCTAATAGTTTCCTGTCCACACTAGGGATAAATTCAGTAGTTCTCTAATTGGGCTGACAGATATTTGAAGATGCAAGAATGATGAGAAAACATTCAGGAGGAAAGTGACATACAATATATAACTGTCACTTTAAGACAAAAAAATTACTTTTTTTTTTCAGTATTAAAATAATGATTGGTTATTCTTACTGGTATTTGAAAGATCTTTGAATGCTACCAACCATAATATAAAGATTATGTTATTGCAGGGACCAGCTCTCAAACACCAATTCCTACTAAAATAAAAAAAAAGAAATTTTTGATATTGTTATATAACATAATACATTTAACCATGCTTCCTTCATGGTTGTGGTAACAAGGATATACAAATGTCCCAGGACCATACTGGGGTAATCTGACGATGACAGTACCTTGAAAACTAAATACACTTTAGGACGTAGCACCCCTACAGAAAATGGTCACTAATGATTGTATGATGACATAAAAGAAGGAGTGGTGGCCGATTTAGTTTTAAATCATTTAGTTGTTGTTTTATCCTTCCTCAGTTCAGCTGTAAAACCAAGGCTTCCCACTGCTTACATGCTTTCCAAACAGCTAAATGAAGGCGTGACTAAGCACAGAAGGTGGTGAGAACAGCAGGTGCAGCCATCGGTTCCTTCACAAATTTGTTAATGAAAATGCATTCTTTCAATACACATTAATGGAACACCTATGGCAGGGCAGGCACTCTGCTAAGTGCTAGGTATGCCAAAAAAATGAAGACACAAGCCTGCTCCAGGGTGACTACAACACCCACAATGAAAGGGGACGCAGACCTGGCTGACAGCCTTACATGGCCCTGGGGCAGGTGCAAGAATGCTGCTGTGAGAGCGAGGATCTCTTCTTTCTGGGGTGGTCAGAAAGCCTGATACTGAGCTAAGCCTGGAAACAGTGGTAGGACTGTGGTTGGTGTACACATATTCAAGGGGAGAAGCAGTGAGTGTGTTCCAGTCAAAGGCCTGTGTATTGCTATTTCCATGACCATTTACTGAAGGGGCCTACTGAAAACAGGAGGTAGAACAAGCATTTGCCATCTATCTTGCCTCCAGGATGAATTACTCTTCGCTTAGAGAACCAAGAGCTATTATATTAAGACAACTTTATCTCGACCTTCTGAGCCTCTAGTCAATTTATGGATGGTACACAGGATACCACCGGCTACTGTACACATGCCCTATGAAAAGCCATGGGCAGAACCAAGAAGGGGGAGGGCCTGGAACTATTTTTGTAATGTAAGACCTACTCCTTGGTTTGGATATTGCTGACTGAGAGCAAAAGATGCCAAGAGGTGGTACTGGCAAATAAGCTTCAATTTTTTTTTTTTTTTTTTTTAATTTTTTTTTTTGAGATGGAGTCTCGCTCTGTCTCCAGGCTGGAATGCAGTGGCGTGATCTCGGCTCACTGCAACCTCCACCTCCCGGGTTCAAGTGATTTTTCTGCCTCAGCCTCCCGAGTAGCTGGGACTACAGGTGTGCACCACCATGCCCAGCTAATTTTTGTATTTTTAATAGAGACTGGGTTTCACTATGTTGGCCAGGATGGTCTCGATCTCTTGACCTCATGATCTGCCCGCCTCAAACCTCCCAAAGTGCTAGGATTACAGGTGTGAGCCACCACGCCCGGCCATAAGCTTCAATGTTGATTGCCTTGTGTCACACATCAAATCAGCCAGAGAGGCATACAGAAACATCAGTTTTCCTCCTGACCATGTGACCACAAGTAAAATATGAAAGAGGCAGAATTTGGGAATGTAGAAGCAAGAATGGTAAGAAAATGACTTGGACCTCCCTCTTTACACCAAAATAAGAGGGCAGTTGAGGGGAAACAGACAGCTACAATAAACGCCAAATGAGAGAGAGAGACAGTGTGTGTATGTGTGTGTGTGTGTGTGTGTGAACATTCCACCCACAGGTTAAGTGGAGGAATACTTTTTTTTTAGTGATATAATCTGGTTCTATTGTCCAGGCTGGAGTGCAGTCCCATGATCATAGCTCATTGCAGCCTCAACCTCCTGAGCTCAAGCAATCCCCCCACTTCAGCCTCCCAAGTAGCTGGGACTATAGGTATATACCACCACACCTGGCTAATTTTATTTTTAAAATTTTTTTGTAGAGATGAAATCTCATTTTGTTGCCCAAGCTGGTATCGAACTCCTGGCTTCAAGTAATCCTCCTGCCTTGGCCTCCCAAAGTGCTGGGATTACAGGCATGAGCTACTGCGCCCAGCCTGTTTTTTTATTTTAAATGAAAAATAAATATAAAGGAAATTATGAAAAACAGTGTATAACTGATATGTTGTCCTATGTTGTCATACTTAAAAACTGAGATTGTTGGTTTCTCAGAATTGTTCAGTATTTCATTTCTCCAGTTTATCAAAGAAATGGAGAGAATTTGGCATGTCTCATCTGCAGTGACATTTCAGTCTCACATTCATGTTTACTTACTGCCTCCCTCCTGAGGTGGCTTCGATGCTAACTGTCATGGTTTAAGCTGTTCTGGACAATGCAATGTGGCCATGTCTCTAAAAGGAACAAAACATTTAAAAAAAAGTCATTATATACCATTTAAAGCTATCTGGGTCCTCACTGGAAAAAGACAGATTAAATATAAATTGAAAAGGAAAAAAATTTTTTTCAAAACAAGTGTATGTAGAGGATATATGTTCAAGTCTGATTACGTAGTTTGGTTATTCCTTTGCTGGTACTGCTACAAAGACTTTATTGGGATTTTTGGGAAGGATTCATTTACCAGTTGTCGTTCACTACAACTGTAGGATTTCAAATAGGATTCCCTTTTTCAGTGGTATCTCAATGACAGTTTAAAAAGAAAAATCATGGGCCAGGTACAGTTAAAAAAAAATCATGGGCTGGGTGTGGTAGCTCATGCCTGTAATCCCAGCACCCTTGGAGGGTGAGGCAGGAGGATTGCTTGAGCTCAGGAGTTTGAGACCAGCCTGGGCAATGCAGGGAGACTTCATCTTTACTAAAAATTAAAAAAATTAGCCAGGCATGGTGGCACATGCCTATAGTCCCATCTACTCAGGAAGCTAAGGTGGAAGGACTGCTTGGGCCCAGGAGGTCGAGGCTGCAGGAAGCTACGATCATGCCACTGCACTGCAAGACCTTTTCTCAAAAAAAAAAAAAAAAAGTAATAAAAACAATAGAGTAACATCAAAGAAGATTTGGATAAATGAAGTTCTGCTAAAAAGAATAATTCCAAATGTAGATACAAAAACTATAAAAATGTACAAAATAGCATAAATGACGCTTTCTGCACGCAAAACATTACCGTTTGTCTACAGATTGGACAACTGATTGCCCCAAGCCATGAACCATATCGCCAGTAAGCAATAATGCAGGCACCTAATAGACAAGACAAAACAAACAATCCATTAATACTGATGTTTTAAAGTCCATATATCGTCAGAAAGATTCAACTATTTGAAATATTTTAACAGTACCACCTTATTTAAAAATACTTTTTACTTCATCCAGACAACCTTCAGGCAAATTCATATCTAGTAAGAACTCCTAGCCATTAAAATTGTTTTAATTTAAATTCCAGATTAAGGCCGGGCACGGTGGCTCACGCCTGTAATCCCAGCACTTTGGGAAGCCAAGGTGGGTGGATCACTTGAGGTCAGGAGTTTGAGACCAGCGTGGCCAACATGGTGAAACCCCATCTCTACTAAAAAATACAAAACTTAGCCAGGTGTGGTGGCACACGCCTGTAATCCCAGCTACTTGGGAGGCTAAGGCAGGAGAATTGCTTGAACCTGGGAGGTGGAGGTTGCAGTGAGCTAAGATCGTGTCACTGCACTCCTGCCTGGGTAACAAAGCAAGACTCTGTCTCAAAAAAAAAAACCTCCAAGTTAAGCTACAGTTGTACACAATCAAAAGTAAGTATACATTAACTGCCTTAATACTATGAAGCTTCATACAAAATATTATATTTCCTATGTAATATAAATAAAACAATAATTAAACATCATTGTAAATATAACAACCAACAAATCAGAGCATAAATTTTCTGTTCTAAATTTGCTATGTTACAAAACACAACTTTTAAAAGAGTTTAGAAAACCAAATTATCAATGTATTAACTAATAGTAATTAGGTATTAACAGTACAAGTGGCCAGGCACGGTGGCTCACGCCTGTAATCCCAGCACTTTGGGTGGCTGAGGCAGGTGGATCATGAGGTCAGGAGTTCAAGACCAGCCTGGCCAACATAGTAAAACCCCGTCTCTACTAAAATACAAAAAAATTAGCCGGGCTTGGTGGCGGGTGCCTATAAATCCCAGCTACTTGGGAGGCTGAGGCAAGGAGAATCGCTTGAACCTGGGAGGCAGAGGTTGCAGTGAGCTGAGATGACACCACTGCACTATAGCTGGGTGACAGTGCAAGACTGCATCTCAGAAAAAAAAAAAAATAGTACAAGCAAGGAATCAAAGGACACAAAAAGATTATATGCTCTGCCCTAATGAAGTGTATAGTTCAGTTCAAGAATCAAATCAACTCTTGCACTAGAGGGATTGGATTTTTCTGCTTGAAGGTATTCACAAGCAGCAAGCCAGCCGAAGATGGGCAACACAGCCTGAAGGAAGAGTCTGGCGACCTCAAGAAGGCACAGGTGTGCCAAGTGTATAAGCACCAAACTTTAGGCCAATAACAGGTGAAGGAATAGTTTTGAACACTGTCTGGTATTTAAGGAGCCAATCCACTTTCTTTTTTGTAGGACACCTGCATCTTCAACTATCCAGGTCCCACTGTGAATCTCAACTAAGTGCTAAGTGCTGAACTAGTGTCCCTTCTCCCTCCAGGAACCTCTGTGTATTCTTGCTCTTGCCTGAGCAACCTGGCTTAGCCCTCCTGTGTTCCTTATTCCTCCAGATCAAGTAAGTGTTCAGAATTCAGAACAAGCAATGGCAATCCAATTGAGGAGACCCAGGTGACATACTCAAATCAATGTAGAAGGCAAATCTTCAACTGTGTCATATTAACTTGAAATACAAAAAAGGGCCAGGCACAGTGGCTCACACCTGTAATCCCAGCACTTTGGGAGGCCGAGGCAGGCAGATCACCTGCGGTCTGGAGTTCGAGACCAGTCTGACCAATATGGAGAAACCCTGTCTCTACTAAAAATACGAAATTAGCTGGGCTTGGTGGCGCATGCCTGTAATCCCAGCTACTTGGGAGGCTGAGGCAGGAGAATTGCTTGAACCCAGGAGACGGAGGTTGCAGTGAG